GTAAGTTGTTTGGAGAAGACCATTGGAAAGCGATCATTCGAGTTCTTAGATATCTAAGATTTACTCGTGATCATGGTTTGAACTTTACTCGATATCCAGCAGTACTCGAAGGTTATTGTGATGCCAATTGGATATCGGATACTAAAGATTCAAAATCCACTAGTGGATATGTCTTTACTCTAGGAGGCGCTGCTGTTTCTTGGAAGTCCACGAAACAAACGTGCATCGCACGATCCACAATGGAATCCGAGTTCATTGCTTTAGACAAAGCAGGTAGTTGCAAGAATGTATACAATCAAATGGGTTTTTGAATTGTTTGATTCTTAGGCAAAATTTTTTTTTTATGAGGATATGATTTTGTCAAAACATTAATTCTGACTTGAGTAGTCATAATTATTTTGGTTTTTTCTTGAATTTGTTTTAAAATTCATTGATTTATATTAGAAGTGATAGGGGTGGTGAATATAATGCACCATTAAATGTATTTTGTGCACAACATGGCATTATTCACCAAACTACAGCACCCATGCTACTAAGTTCAGGCTTACCATAGAACTTGTGGGGGGAAGCAATTTTTGTCTGCTAATTATGTTCTTAATAAAATACCCCACAAGAAAACCAACAACATTCCTTATGAATTGTGGAAAGGTCGACCACCTTCCTACGAATATTTAAAAGTGTGGGGGTGTTTGGCAAAAGTTGAAGTTCCTGTTTTTAAAAAGACTAAGATTGGACCAAAAATAGTAGACTGTGTGTTTATTGGTTATGCTCAGAATAGTAGTGCATATCGGTTTCTGACTTATAAATCCGAAATACCTGATATAAATGTGAACACTATTATAGAGTCAAGGAATGCTGTGATTTTTGAACATGTCTTTCCTTACAAGAAAGGACAGGAATTAAGTTCACAGAAAAGAACTTATGATTGTACATAAAGTCAAGAGACTAATGACAATCAAAAACAAGAAACTAGTAATAGTCTCGACCAACATGATTTAACTGATGATGAACCAAGACGAAGTAAGAGAGCGAGAACTTCAAAATCCTTTGGTCTAGATTTTCTAACATACCTGTTAGAAAATGAACCTCAAAGCTTTAAGGCAGCAATGACAGGTCCTGAAGCACCTTTGTGGAAAGAGGCTGTTAATAATGAAATTGAATCCATTATGCAAAATCATACTTGGGAATTGGTGGATCTTCCATCAGGTTCTAAACCTCTTGGATATAAATGGATATTCAAGAGAAAAATGAAAGCAGATGGTTCAATTGACAAGTATAAAGCACGACTTGTAGTTAAAGGTTACAGACAAAAGAAAGGTCTGGAATTTTTTGACACATATTCCCTTGTGACAAGAATAACATCTATTCACATGCTTATTTCTATAGCAGCGTTGTTTAATTTAGAAATACATCAAATGGATGTTAAGACAGCTTTCTTAAACGGTGATCTAAATGCAGTGATCTATGTGGAGCAACCCGAAGGGTTTGTAGTGTCGGGGCAAGAAAATAAAGTTTGTCGACTTGTAAAATCCCTTTATGGATTAAAACAAACACCTAAGCAATGGCATGAAAAATTTGATCATGCAATGCTTACTAATGGGTTTAAGATAAACGAATGTGACAAATGCGTCTATGTTAAAAACACTGACCAAGGATATGCCATAGTTTGTCTTTATGTGGATGACATGCTTATCATTGGAAGCAGTCAAAACATGATCAAATCAACTAAGCAGATGCTTAACAAAAGATTTGATATGAAAGATATGGGGGTCGAAGATGTTATATTAGGAATGAAAATTACTAAAACATATGAACGGATATGCATTATCTCAATCACATTATATTGAGAAAATTCTTGGTAAATTTATCAAGGATGATATGAATATTATTCAGCAAATTTCACCATAAATTCGTAGTAAATTCTCAATAAATTATTTGTTAAGTTTTCAATAAATTCCCTATAAATTACTTTATAAATTATCTATTAATTTTCAGTAAATTATTTAATAAATTGCTCAGAAAAGTTTCAATAAATTCTAAAAAAATTCTCAATAAATTATGTATAAATTATTGGTAAATTACTCATAAAATTATCAAAAAAAAAAAAATCATGAATTACTTTATGAAGATTTTTCATACTTCAATTAAACATACAATAAAAAATCACACACTAATCAAAAGATAAAAAAAAAAAATTCATGAAATATGTCATAATATTTTTTCCATAATTCTTGACATTATTATTTTTATCATTATTATTATTATTATTTTGGTAATTCCTTACTTCAACAACTTTCCGTGTTGTAGGTTTCTCCAGATGGAACGGTGTGTTATGAGGCCTGTCGTTTAAACATCTTCGGCCCTGCCATCAAGGTGTCGGGTAAGGCTCTTGGGCTGGGACGTGAGGCAGGCTTCCCACACCGGGAAGTTCTTTTGGTATGGTTAAAAAACCATGCAAAACGGAGAACGTTAAGTGGTCCCGAGACAAAGCGCCCGTCCAAAGGCTCCAAAAATCGAAAACTAGTCTCCAAACGGGAAAAGTGATCTATGACCATGAAAAGATGGTCTACAAGACCTCTTCCTCCCTCCAGTTCACAGAACAGAACTTATGATTGTACACAAAGTCAAGCATGGAGAAAAACCGGAAAAATTTAATGGTACCGAGTTTAAGAGATGGCAGCAGAAGATGCTGTTCTATCTTACAACTCTTAATTTGGCCCGGTTTCTCCATGAAGAGGCTCCAGCACTTAAAGAGGGTGAAAGTGATCGGCAAGTTGTTGCCGCTGTAGATGCTTGGAAACATTCAGATTTCCTGTGCAGAAACTACATCCTAAATGTGAGAACCACGATGTGTTAGAAGATATTTTGTGTGAAATCTATTGTCTTGGCTTACA